GAATCTGTTTGTTAAATGACAAGATTATGATCAGATACCAGAACATTGAATTTGTTCATGGCTATCATAACCATATTTGCTTTATCCATATGCTGTGCCTAAGAAATTCGCTTTTGCTGCTAAAGATAAAAATGTTTGCTTAATTCCGGATTCGAAATTTCCGCATACAACCTAAAAACGCTAATCTTGCCAATCCCAAACTTACCACCGATGCGCTAATATGATCGGCAAATATACCATGAGGGCTTGACTAACCTTAGAGAATTGGTCATGTTGAGGGCGGTCTCTCTGTAAAATTTGAGTTCTTCTATGTCCATGTAGTCCTCATCCACCTCATCACCCAGAGGACTGTTTGGGCACTCTGTAAATGCTTTCCTTTTAGTAGAAAAGTTATTAAAATGTGGAACATACCAAATGGATCTTCAGCTGTTTCACTCAGATGTAGCGCACTTCCTGCAGTCACTGCCAAAACCTGAAAAATCTGATGAAGTGAGTGAGTGATGACTATTTGCGAACAAATCCTCTGTTACTGAGGATAAGCAGCAATAGGTTTGTGTTCTGCACATAGGTTTTTCTCGCAACAGTTAAGGTTAACGTAATAGTCGCTTGCACGTACGAGGCTATCAGCAAACTGCATATAATTTGAAAGCTGACTAATCTTTGCGGTCTACGCAAAAGCCGTAACATTTTTGTTTGGTAGATATGAGCGCTCAGCGCTGATCCTTCGAAGATTACGGTATAACTTAAGGGCAGAAAACAACATGAAACACTTCAGCTCAAGTTTTCATTTTCGTTGGGTTCAGGATAGTTCATATTGCAAAAATTGGAAGAAATGTTTTCAAGGTACTGCGGCTCATTTCAACTCAGCTTAAAATTCTGCTATAATTCGGCAACCTCTAGATTGTTTTAATTCAGAGAAAGTAAATCAATTTGTGTTTCTATAAAGGGCTCAAAAAGTTTTGAAAGAAAAAAAAGCAGTACTATTTCGACATAGAGTTGCTAAGCACAAATCGGATGTCGCCGGTACATTAAACATTATTGTGATTTTTTTTTCTTGTGAGATTTCTACAAACTAGGGAATGTTTTGCGCGTTCTGTAAAAATATTCAAAAGCTTGAGACTAATAAATCAGAAAAATATTGCAATTTTCTTTGATTATAACTCAAGGATACAAAACTTAAGTTCAGAGTTATGTCTTCTTGTTTTCCTCTATCTATGTTGTCGAGGCACACAAGAATAAGCTAATTCCCCAAAACATTGTATTAGGTCGATGGATAGATTGGCGAAATTATATACGAAAGAGAGGATCATGTGCTACATACTTGATGAATTTCCTGCTACCAGAGTGATTTAAAAAATGCTAAAGTAAAAATTTCAAATGACAAAAACGAAGTTATTTATCTCTACATTTGTTGATTGATTTACCATTTCACATTGTACAAAAATATAATTAAAAACATCGTATCTGTCCCGCACAGTAGAAATTCCTACAGTAGATAAGAATCAACGATCAGCTCATAATGTATTTAGTTAATTCTTCGCCTATGTTGCAAACTGATTGCAGATTGAATATGATAGTCATAGCCAGCACAACAAATATCCCACTGTACGGCTTTTCAAACAAGTGTGGAATTTACCCGTTGTAGTCGAATCAGCTTATCCTACAGTTAAGATCCAATATGTGAATCGGAATATTCGTAATAAGCGCGTCGAACTACTTTACTAGGTAGAACCAGTAGATATATGGCAAAATTGCGAACTCTTGAAAGTTTATGGACTTGAAGAAACAAATTGATGGCACAAATATGTTTATGAAGCTCATCTGATTTGAGTTGGAAGCTCTCGTTTCTTTAAACCTGGGCGTCTTGTTAACCCCGAAGCCAGTTTTGAAGGGTAAATAGATGGCAAGCCAATTAGTTTCAAATAGTAGAATATAAGTTAGAACTATAGTTGATTTTGGAGAATTTTCTCGGATGAATTGAATATACGTGCGTGATGAAAATAATCGAACGAATGAATATTATTCGAAACGCTATTTGAAATTTATTCGAACTCAATGTTTAAATGGTGTGGACCCGTATACTCTGACTGTTATTCGAATATTCAAATAACAGACCAAGTGCGTTTTTTCGAATGTTGGGCTACTGAATGTGCAAATAATCAATATACGAATGATTCATTTGACATTGATATTCAATCTTAATCATACTTGATGACAGGTGCTCGAACGAACAAATATTTGATGATTCGCTGAAGTTTGAACGATCGAATATCAATCGAAACAGTCGCAAAGCTATTCGAAGTCGAATATTCGAATGTTGAGTTTCAAACTATTCGGGTATTCTAATAATCGAAGAGATGCATTTTATTCGACTGTTCGCAAACTCAAATAAATGCGTTTTCTCAAACTTTGAGATATTCGAATATCTATTCGTACACGAATACTCCTCAACTATAATTAGTACTGAAGCAACGTTAGTCGACTTCTTAGTGGACTATTTCCCAGAATGCGACAAGCGCGCACATAGCCGCTCATGAGTAACAAAGTCATTCATTCATGAGCGGTGTTGACCTTTCGAAACGTCTTTTATAATAAGTA